ATATTAAACTAGATAGGATTCACTATTGTAATTTTTTGACAATAAATCAATATAAAAAATCAATATAAAAAAGAATTGTCTATTCAATTTACTTAGCATTATTAGTAAAGTATTCAATCAAACATTAAAGTTGCTCTATAATAAATTAGAAAGAAATATGTTGTGTATGTAATAAACATCAATTGCCTGTTTGTAACTAATTACAATCATTCATAGTAATGAAAAATTTAGATTAATAAAATATAATCATCAACTTGATGATGTCATCAAATTGTCAGTCATTAACATTGTACAGCACAGTTATTAAATTAAACGGTAAGACTTTGATTATGTACATATGTGCCAATGTTAGAAATCTGTCGCATTATTAACACTTCTGTAACTCGATTTTTAATATGCAATAAATAATTTTTGGAGCATTTGCTAGTAAAAACTGCTTTTTAAAAATAAAATATTAATTTTTTGTTATTCCGATAGTTCGTGTTAACACTACTTATTCATAACAATATATTTTTTTTGAGATGTCAGTAAAAAAGCTGTAATATATTCATATGTAATTTTTAAAATAAAAGTTTATATGTAACTAATAAAGGAGTAACCATTTTATATTAAAAAAATAATTATTTAAAAAATTAAAATTCTTGTAAGGAATCAGTAATAATATGAAACTTTATTTATAGAATTAAAATGTATAAAAACCAGGAAAAATTAGAAGTATAATACAGATGTATAATTTTCACAAAAATAGAGAAGTTTAACACAGAATAAAAGAATTATAATACATAATGAAAATTTCATAATTGTCAAAAAGATACATATAAAATATAAGTTTGTCATGAATGAAAATTAATGAAATGGATTTTGCAATAAATAAAGTTTAATTTAAAAATATTTTATTTATTGTACAATATAACTGTACAAATATAAATGGACCAATACATTGTGATCCTTAAGTTTAGTCAAACAATCCTGTAAAAGAAAAATGTTTATTAAAACAAGTTCTTTATTGCAAAATATGGCAATTAGAAAATAATATTCTCATTATTTCATTTCATCATAAATAATATCAGTAGCTAATACATGATAATAATCACTGAATGTCACAATCTAACTATTACATTGATATATTAATTATAAATGTATTACATACCAAAGCCCATATCTTCATCAGATTCTGGTTCATCAGGTTCTTCTTTCTTCTTTTCTTCTTTAGGTGCACTTTCCGTACTAGCAGGTGCAACTGCTACTGTTGGTGCTTTAAACAATAATAAAAATAGTCTTATTATATGAAAATATAATTTCATAATTATATAAATAAGTACATAACAAAATTCTTATTTGCAATGTTGTCGTATAGAAATATTAATATGATTTACAACTTTCTAATACTTTTTCTTTTTCCTTCTTTGCTGACCGCTCTAATATATGTTTATGTAGAACGGTGGATGTAAAGGATTTGTACTGTTGCAGAAGATATGTACATATGTTATATATTTATAAAACAGAACTTATTTCATTTAATTTAAAAAATCATAGGACAAAAAGCTACAAAATCATAGAACCATAAGCCACCAAAAACTATACATAAAAATTGACTTTATTCATAGCTTCATTCAATGAGTTAAGATAATGAAAACGATAACTAATTTTTTGAAATTTAAAAATTGATATTAGTCTACATTATAGTTAATCCCTGATTAATAATTTACTACGATGGTGCAATATGATACAACTTTAAATTACTCATAATGCAGGGATCAATATTTCCAAATGCACGAATTGTCACAGCTGAAATTTTATGCTCTTTTTTTCATATATAATTCTCTAACTTAAATTTTCAATTCTTCTATTTTAGGTTATCTGTTTGTTGTCAATGATTTGACTCTGTGAATGATGTATAATGTTAAAATAAACTATAATATATTTTTATAGATGTATAACTTTTAGTTCTCAAAATTAAAACTGATATTTTTCATTAAATAATATATTGTCAAAACTAGTTATTATATATATAGTTAAATATCAAAATATAATTAAATGTATCAAAAAAAAAAAAATTATATATTCAACTTATATCGTCTTGCAATACTTGTATATTATACTATGTATAATAGTAAAACTAAATAAATAAATAAATAATATAATAAAGAGATAACTATTATATATGTATTGTTATTACTAATATACTAGTATTATTAGTATATAGTTATTCTAAAATGTATTATATTTAACATAAGAGAATGCAAATAAACAAACTTTTTTAAATATATTATTTATATTACTTTAAATCAGAATATGATGCAGTTTAAAAAAATGTTATTTTTACAACCTGCTGGTGCACTTCCAACTCCTGATCCAATCTTGGTTATAAGTTCTTTTATGTTGACACCTTCTAAAGCCTTGGCAAAAAGTCCAGGCCAATAAGATTCCACATCAACATTGGCAGCTTTTAAAATTGTTTGAATTTTTTCTCCCTAAACAATAAACAAATATTTAAAATATTAAATACGTTATTTCTATAATTTTATGCATTTTTTCTTTCTGATACTAAAGTAAATGATATTTTAATTTTTTGTCATATTAAGAAATCACATGTATGATACTTACAGTTACAGCAACATCATCATCAACAAGAATTAATGTTGAGTAAACGCAAGCTAGTTCCGCTTTTGTATTCATGTTTGCTGTTTGTTATAATTTATATAGAAGTTGGATGAGATGATAAAATGATGCAAGTCGCTGATATAGCCTTAGCTCAGTAAAAGAGAACAAGCACCTGCAGTTAGCTTACGCTGATCCAGTTAACAGGAAAGAGGAATGGGAAAGGTAAAAGGAAATCACGTGACTTATTTTTTGGCAGCATTCTCAATGCAACTAAAAGCAAAAATAATATGATTTTATTGGTTAATTTATTAATATAATACAAGATATTTTTCAATATATCTAATATATTATTTAATTAAATTGAGACATACTTTTTTTACGTTATACATCTTTACATAATACTTTTTTTACATTATTACTACATACTTAATATTATATTTTCATGAAGAGGATACCTAAAACAATTTTTGTACCAATGATTTTACTAATTAATGTTGTATTTCAAATAAATATTTGAAGTAGTAACACACAAAAATTATTTCATAATATTATGAATATTCATGGAAATTAAAGGGGGCGCCACATATTAATAAATTTATTTAAGAAGCAACGCATATATATTCGATGTTCTTCAAAAAGTACAGATCGATTAGTGGATCATGTAGTACGTAATTGAGCTAGTTCAGTGTTTTTGCGAACGTTAAAGGGTGCGTTAGGAGGGTGCGTGTCAAAGTGGTCGGCATACAATTACTTATTTCGTGTTCAAATTTACGAATACCTTAAGATATGTTTTTTTGAGGTATGATGCTATGTAGCACGTAAATGAAGCGACGGCGTATAGCGCGGTCGCATGTTAAAAGAATATCGCTTGTAAGAACGATGAGAATGGCGCGCAAATGCTGCGTGCGTAGCTGTGAGGCTGATGTGCAAGATGCGCGTACTAAAGGGTTACCGCTTCATAAATTTCCAAAAGATGTTACTTTGAGAAACAAATGGTTAGCTAGTGGTGGATTTGAAGCGACTTTTAAACCTTCACCAGGTCAAGTTATTTGTCACAAGCATTTTAAACGAGCCGATTACGAAGCTGCAAAAGGGCATAAATTTGTTCTACGTAAAGGCAGTGTTCCATCGGTTTTTACAGACTATGACAATCATCCGGGTGTGTATCATTTGTTATTTATTACTTGTTACCACTTCTTTCTTGTTAAATACTGCCAAATAGAGAATTTTACACTTTAAAAATTATTAGCTTACATGTATTCTTTAAGTCATTATTTTTCTTTGTTTTAATATCTTTTTTAGTTCAATTCACATTATAAGCTTGTTTTGTTTATTTTTAAATTTCTCTATTTAATATATAAATCAATATATAAAGAGAAAAAAAAAATATATATATATACTGTATAATTATATTGTGTTATATAGTGTATACTGTATAATTATATTATGTATGTATTTTTTATATAAACTAATAATAAATAATAATAATATAAACTAACATATAAATATTAACAATAAAAAAACTATTTTGTTATTTTGTTAATTATACATGTCATATCATGATTGTATGATGTTACAAAAATATTTGTAAATTCAAGTAATATAACAAATTCAAATAATTGAATATATTGTGCACATAATGTCAGGTTATTCAGAGATGTGTTATAAAATAAACTGTAAAAATAAGAATATAGTTTTTGAAATGTAATAATTATTATTGTTTTATTACAAGAAAAAAATATCAGTGTATGAAGTAACAAGACTTTTAAAAATAATCAAACACTAAATGATAGAAAGATAAAGATATAATTTCTATGTATTTCCATATAACATTGACTTTCAATTGGATCAATTGATACAAAATTTAATAAATAATGTCAGATGAGATAGTAGATTAAAAAAATATAAAATCTTAGTTTAAAATTGATATATTTAAAAATACAGTTTGCTTATAACAAATCTTCATTGATTTTAAATGCAATGTTTGACAATTATATATAATATTTAGTTAGTAGATAAAATATATGTACTTATATATATATATACACACACATATATATATATTTTTTTTTAAGAAAAGAATGAACTCTTCTGTTTTACATAAATATATTTATGTAAAAAAATATATATTTTTATTTAAAAAAATAATGCAGTTGACTACATATACACCTCAAAAAAAGATGTGATTCTATGAGTATAATAATTTTTGAACTATTCATCTTTCTCTTTCAATATTAAAAATATATTGATAATTATAACCTGAAACAATTGTGTGGACCATTCTTTATGTAAATGTATTCACATTAGTTAAAACATTAGATAGAAACAAAAAGCCAAACATTTGAAAATAATAATAATTCATGGAAAAAATTTCAATTTTATTAAAATAAAGAATATAAAGTCCATATCATTAATTATTATTATATTATTATTATTTTAAAATTTAAGAAAATGAAAATAAATTATAAAATGTTTTTTATATCGTTATTGATCTTTATATAATTGTATATTATATTTTTGGAAAATATTTTTCAAAATAATTAGCTGTTTAATATTTGTTAGTTACTTATATATTAGCTGTCTAATATTTGTTAATTAATTATACTAAAATTTAATATTTGTTAATTACTTATACTAAAAGAATGAATGAAAGCTTTTCGTTACAAAAGAATTTCTAACGTAATCATAATTTTAAATATTGCCTTGAAAGTATAAAATTAATGAAGTATCTAACAATCTCTTGTTTTTAAGTGATTAAAAACTTTGATTTAATTCCTAATGAAAAAGTATATTGTTATTAATTCTGTTATGTGCCTTGAAGAATACATTATTGACTTTTAATATCAACATAATATTATTATATAGTTTATTATATCTTTGTGATGCTAAATTATTAAAGTATTAAGTATTAAAAAAATATTATACAGATTTATGAATAAATATAATAAAATTATTATTATTATTGAATACATTATTGTTTAAAAATATTTCTTTAACACTAAAACTATCACATCAGTCAAAATGACTGGTTTTACAATTTTAAAATTTCTATTTCATGTTACATTTTTTTTCCACAATGATGTAATGACTTTTACAGTGATAACTAAAGAAATAATATAATGAATTTTATTTTATTTTTATTTATTAGAAATCAAAATAATTTTGTATCATGGCTACTTATACCAATACTAGTCAAAATGAGTAGTACTTGTCAAAGTGTAATAGAGTCCTACAATCTGTTTACCGAATTAATCACTTTTGTACAATCTTTTACACGTTTTTAGAATTTATACTGCTATCATTAAATATGATGGTGATAATTATCAGGAAAATTGCGCATTTTTTTTTACTAATGACCATATGCTTGAACGTCTAATATCTTGCACCAAATTAGAAGCTTCTCGAGTTTTAGGTAAAAAATTTGGAATTTTGTATGCACGGGAAGTAATGAAACAAAAAATTTGGAACTTTTATATTTATTGGAACAGAAAATGGGGACCAAACTTCTTTTTCAACACCATGAAATGATTTTGCTGAAATATTGAGATTTATTCGCTTTGATAAAAAAAAATTGATGAAGTTAATATTTACAAAGTGATAAATTTGCTTTGATATCAGCTGTATGGAATAAGTTTCAAAATAGTCAGAATTGTTACAAACTAGGTGCAAATATTATAATTGACAAATAACTATTTCCATCTAAAGCCAAATGCAGATTTATTCAATATTTGCTGAATAAATCTGACAAAGTTGGTACTATATAACATGGGATTTTTTTTGTAGGAAAGTAATAAATCAATAAATGAAAATATTCTATTATTACGTTTTTTTTTTAAATCAATCATTTTGACTGGTTTTGTTAGAAATAGCTTTGTCTTAACTGTTGGTTGTTCTAGTATTAAATTATTCACTTATGTATTCTTTTGCAGATCCTGTGATTATGTCTGTGAAATCATCAACTTCTTATGCACAGGAAGATTTGGATCTTATTAATTCTGAAATTCTAAATTTAGAACAGTCTATTTCTCCAATGAATTCTGGTTTAAAGACATTAAAATCTGATAATTATAAAGAAACATGTATTTTTCAATCAAAATTATCAGTTGAGTCCTGTAATTTACTAGATTCAACAGAATTAGTTGATAATGGATGTAAGAATTTAAATATAAAAGAAGAAAATACGTATCCTGTGACAGAAGAGATAAATAAAAATTCAGAAATAGAAGTAAATACTATGGCAGTGCAGTTAGGTATTGTTGAATCTAACATAGCAATGAAACACATACAAAAAGATTTAGTTATTAAAGAGGAAGAACTGAAAAGTATGAAAATAGAAGATGAAAAAGTTTTTGATAAACCGGAAGAATTAAAACCAAAAATTTTTAATCGGGGTGGATTAAAATTTTTTCCTGGAGCTAAATTAGAAGCAAAAGATTTCAATGAAAAATGGTAAATATTTGTAAGAACAGTTGTAAACACATGATAATGAGATAATTATAAAGTATAATATAGTTATTATAGTAAATATTGATAAAAGATGATATGAGTAATTATTTCATGTTATATTAGGTATTCAGCAAAAGTCGTTGAAACTGATTGGGACGAACGAGAAGTATTGATACGTTTTGATAAATGGAGTTCAAAATTTGATGAATGGATACCTATGGATAGTTCAAGATTACGTGTATTGCAAACACAATCAAAGTAAGTAGAAATATTTTATTGAATCTACAATAAAACTACCTGAATTAATAGGTACAAAAATAAAAAATTTTTACATGAATAATATTTGATTTGATTTATTATATGACGTATATTTTATGTTACTTATGGATTCATTCTTTTTTAAAGCGAACAAACCTGGAATCTACCATCTTCGTAAGTGGATATTGAATAATTATTAATTAGATGAAAAAAATTTATGTAATTTATAGTATTTTTTAGTGCAAATTTTTTAATAATATCAATAATAAATTTTTTAAATTTTTTCTTATCTTTTCATGTAAATTTATACATTTTCATATAATTTTACTATAGATAGATAAACTATATATGTTCTACATGAT